AAAAAAAAGAAGAAGAACTTAGACTCTGGAAGTAGCTAATTATGCAGGAAACTTGGCTGAACCACTACTATGTAATCTTACACAAAATAAATTTCTATGTCTCCATTTTCCCCAGCCTTAAGGACTGAGTTATTTTAAATACTTTAAAAATTTTTATTTTTATGTTGTGTGTATGAGTGTGTTGCCTGCATGTGTGGAAGTGCACCCCTGTCGTGGAATGCCCTCAGAGTCAGAAGAGGGTGATGGATTCCCCTGGAATTGGAGTTATAGACAGTTATTAGCTGCCATATGGGTATTGGTAATTGAACCCAGGTCCTCTGCAAGAGCAGCCAGTGTTCTTAACTGCTGAGCCATCTCTCCAGCCCCAGGAAATAAGTTCCTATATATCAGATGTTAAAAATATTTAAGTTTTTTTATGTGTATGAGTGTTTTGCCTACATGTATATAAGTGCACCCATGTTGTGCAATGCCCACAGGGTGTTGGATTGTTGGATCACCTGGAACTGGAGTTATGGATGGTTGTTAGCTGCCCACCAGAAGTAGTTTCATGAATTTTGTGATTGGAAAGCTAGACGCTACTCTGAGAGTCCAATTCCAGGAAAGTCTAAATTGGATTCTAGGAATCTAGTTTCTCTCTTTTCTTTCTTTCTTTTTAAGATAGGGTCTTGTATAGCCCTACTGGAGGGTACCACCAGGCCTAGCTTCAAATATATTTTCAACAGTCTTCACAGCTGATAGTGGATTCTCATGCTGCTGGTTGGCAGAGACAACACTGCCTTAAAATCCACCTGACTGGGAGCTATCCTTTTTCTGGATAGAAGGGGTGAAAAAATTCAAAAGTTAAAGCTTAGCAGGGCATGGTGGTGCATGCCTTTAATCACAGCACTCAGGAGCCAGAGGCAGGTGGATCTCTGAGTTCACGGCCAGCCTGGTCTACATAGTAAGTTCCAGGACAGCTGGGGCTATAAGGAGACCCTGTCTCAAAAAGACCAAAAAAAAGTTAAAGCTTTTCAGAAAGCTTAGATCTCCAAGATCTAGGACTAGGACTCAGAGCTCGGGGAGTACTGTATATTACATTTCATCTCAACAAATATTAAGTAGAGCATCTAGTGGGTTCCAGGCAATGTGTGGGGCCTTCTAACTTATTTAATCAATTCCTAAAGGCGAGTGATAAATGTTAAGAGACTTATTGTACATTAGAGGTCTGTAAACCTTTTCTGAACATAGCCAGATAGTAAATACTTTCAGTTTTGCAATATCTGTCAGGTACTCAGTTCTGCTATTGTAATAGACAGCTCTAAACAGTACCTGAGTAAAAATAGATACTCTCCCATAAAAATTATTTTTGAGACAGCATCTTACTATGCAGCCCTGGCTGGTTTGGAACTTACTATATGGACTAGGTTGGCTATGCCTCCTGAGTGCTAGGATTATGGATGTGAACCACCATATCTGGCCAAACTTTATTTGTAATAAGAAGTACTAACCCTACTATGGGTCATTGTCTTAGGCTAGCTTCTCCAGAAATAATCCTGAGAAGATTCATGTCAAAGTCATTCATCAGATTTGGATTTTGGTTTTTGAGGCAGGTGTAGAAGTCACTATGTAGTTGAGGCTGGCCTTGAATTCCTGATACTGTGATCCTATTATAGAGGTAAATAATGATTCAAAGCAATCTTAATTCAAGAATGAGAGTTCCATATGAAACTACCAAGAGGTGCTATCTAGCCCCATTCTCAGTCTAAGATTGGCCACAGGAAGGCCTGAAAGAGACCGCTGGATCTTTAAAGCATGTGTGCCCATTGATCTGTACAGCCACACCCACTCTTGTAATTTCTACCTCCCTCTCTAACTTGACCTTCCCCTCTTTGAGACTGCATTGTAAACACTTTGCACTAGAGTGTTGTGATTTTTTTTTCCCAAGACACTGTTTGTCAGCTCTTCTGAGGAGTTGTCTGTTAGCATATCTGAAATTCTTTGTAGACTCACTTGAGATAGGGTCAGTCACCCTCCTGTGTGACTTCTGTCTGTCCCTACTAAAATACTCATTGTATTATATGGCAGTTGTGATTCTGCATTTGGTCTTCCCACCAGGTACAAGTTCCTTGACAGCAGACATTTTTTTTTTTTTTTTTTTAAAATATGATAAATACCCAAGGAAATTATTTTCCAGATCAAGGGATAAGCATCTATGAATCACATTTTAGAACTTGAAAAAAGGTTCTGCTTGTAATATATTTCAAGTTTTACAAACAATAAAAGCAATAGTCTCAAGTTTTTAGCCTCAAAAAAAGAAGTGATAGGCCAGGCATGGTGGCCCATGCCTTTAATCCCAGCACTCAGGAGGCAGAGGCAGGTGGAGCTCTGTAAATTCAAGGCCAGCCTGGTCTACACAGTGAGTTCCAGGCCAGCCAGGCTATATATTGAGACCTTGTCTAAAATAAATAAATAAATAAATAAATAAATAAATAAATAAATAAATAAATGTTTTCATGTAGTCTAGGCTGGCCTTGAGTTTGCCAAGAATAACCTTGAATCCTGATCCTCTTACCCCTTGCTGAGATTATATGCATGTCCTACTACATCTGGTTTATGTGGTGCTGAGGACCCAACCCATGGCTTTGTTCATCCTAGGCACTGTACTGAGCTACATCGCCAGCAGCAAGCACTCTTATTAGCAGAGACCAATGTGTAGTGTTTGAAGGATTAAAGGAGATCATCTCCACTGCATGTTCCTACCTGTTTCCCTTTCATTTATTTTAATTTTGCCTTGGACATCAAAGAAAGATTATAATCCCTAACATGAAGTCTTCCAGGGGTTATCTTCCAAGATGGTCTAAAAGGTTAGTGATATCATTAGGGCAATAATAGTACAGTCCTAATGGTGCTAGTATTATCACCATTCTGACATTGAGGAAACTGGAACCCCAAGAGTCAAATTATTTTCCCTGTGTGACTTGAAGAGCAGAATCTAAATCTTTTAATTATGTGTGTCTGTGTGTCATTATGTGCATGTAAGTGCAGGTGCCCATGGAAACCAGAGGCATTAGATCCTCTGGAGCTGGAGTTATTGGCTGCTTTCAATGTGGGTACTAGAAATCAAAATTTTCAAGAGCAGTACACGTTCTTAACTGCTAAGACATATTTCCAGCTTGCAGAACCCAAATCTTAGAGAGAGGGAGGGGAGGGGAGGGGAGAGCAGAAGAGAGGAGAGCAGAGGAGAGGAGTTCCCAGTAGCCCCAGCTGGCCTGGAACTTGCTATGTAGACCAGGCTGGCTTCACAGAGATTCACCTGCATCTGCCTCCTGAGTGCTAGAACTAAAGGTATGTACACTACACCTAGCCAAATCTTTGAACTCTTAAATCCCAAGTTTTAGCTACTCCCCCAGATGTTTTTCACTCTTAAGTTTAGCGTGTTGCATCCTTTGTGTGGGCTAGCTGTTCTTGTGATTCTCTTAAATGAGCAATCCAAGTTCTTGCTATCAAGAAAACTTACCCTTGCCCACCATCTAGGAGCAACAGAGTCACAGTTTGTGTCCAAGTCTGTGTGATTGTTATTCCAAAGCTCATATTCTTCTCAGTACCCTGTTGCTTCTAAGTACTGGAGGGGTTGGATGAAGAGAAAATGGATCCAACAGTGGGTGAATAATCCAGGAAATGTGAGAGCCAAAACTAACTGAGTTCTTTTGCCACCCATCCCCCGCAATGCAGGTTGTGGGAACAGTGCCCTGAGCTATGAGCTGTTCCTTAGAGGCTTCCCCAACGTGACCAGTGTGGATTATTCTTCAGTAGTGGTGAATGCCATGCAAGTTTGCCATGCCCATGTACCCAGTCTACGTTGGGAGACCATGGATGCGCGAGCACTTAGTTTCCCTAGTGGTTCCTTTGATGTGGTACTTGAGAAGGGTACACTGGATGCCCTGCTGGCTGGGGAGCCGGATCCTTGGACTGTATCTTCTGAAGGTGTTCATGCTGTGGACCAGGTGCTGAGTGAGGTGAGGAAACAACAAGATGGCAGACCAAGAAGTAGGGAAGGGGAGCTGAAGTCTCAGGAGATTGGAAAAACTCAGAAGCCAGAAAGTCAGAGCAGGCGATGGGTCACCTTTAGAAGTATGGTTTTCTGAAGATCAAAGGAGACTGGAGTGACCAGGATCACAAAGGCCAATGGCTGGCTACTGACTTGCTATAGGGAAGAGGTAGTAACTAGGCTCCACACAGGTGATGGAGACTGGGGAGATAAGCAGCTGATAGGAAAGCAATACCTCCTGCATGTGTGTGCTCTTCTAGAATAAAACATTCAGGGACAGAGGGCGGCTCATTCTTTGTCATGGAAAGCCTGAACTACGGGATACAGAGTAGTATCAGAAGTTCAACTGGGATGGCATCTTGGGTAGTACTGACCTTTGAGAATCTGGAAATGACTCAGCACTGACAGCTTCTCTGTCTGCTTTGCAGGTGAGCCGGATACTGGTTCCTGGGGGCCGGTTCATCTCAATGACCTCTGCTGGCCCCCACTTTCGGACTAGACACTATGCTCAATCCCGTTATGGCTGGTCATTGAGGCATGCAACCTATGGCAGTGGTTTTCACTTCCACTTTTACCTCATGCACAAGGGCAGAGAGCTCAGTGTGACCCAGCTGGCCCTGGGGGCCAAGATCCTCTCATGCCCCAGCCCTCCTGCTTCACCCTGCTTCCTCCAAGACTCAGATCATGAGGACTTCCTTAATGCTATTCAGCTGTGAGGCCAGAAGCATGATCTCCCAGTCTTCCTGACATTCTGCTCTGGGCTCCTAGGGAATTGGAATTCCCAGCTAGGACTGGGGATTCGTTCCCAGCTGCTCAAATCCCGGAGGCCTCATGCATAAAACAATGCTGGTAGGATCAAGTCCATGTGAGCCAATACAGCATGCATCCAACTGGGTCCCAGATCCCAGGTTTCTGGCTTCCTTCTCTGGTTCATTTCTATGGGGTTCCCCACCTCATCCTCACAGTACTGAAATGACCAGTGACTCATCTCTTGGGGTAAAGCTCAACACAGCTCCTCCACACACCTACCAGCCTTGGGTATGCTCCATTCAACCTGTATTTAGCTACAAGAGGCTGAAGGCTTTGAATTTAGATTGCTTTATGCTTCTCATCGCAACTCCAACAGTGATGACCTGTCCTGCTTGGGCTGTGTATATACTTAAGGAGGCCATATAGTAATGGTGTTCCCAGGTTGCCCTGTCAGTGTTCACCTGGTAACCCTCTCATCAGCAGGAACTTGCACCCAAGATTCCTGAGTATGGGTTCCCCAACAGACTGAAACATCAGACACACACATTCACACACGCATTCACACACACACGGAGGTCTGTGTTTATTCACACACTCCTTGGTACAGTGAGGATGGAGAAACATTTACAAAGGATAACCCTGGGTTGAAAACATCTTCAGGTCCACAGGTGTCATCCAAAGATACTGAGCAGTCCCCATTTGGGTTCCCAGGGGTAGAATGAAGGGGTCCAAGGAAAAATCAGATCTGGGCCCTTAGATGGTGATACCTTGGGAGGGAGGAGTCTGCCAAAGAGCCTCCTGGGGTCAGGTTGGGCAGACTGGCCATGTAGTTAGTTACCATGTTGCAGACTTGTCCCATCCCAGTCTCAACACCTGTCCTGTCTGCCAGACGCAGAAGAGCACAGTGGAGGCTGTGGGGGGAGGGCACGAACCATGAGTGGAGCCAGTAAACAAAGAATTGGATATAAAAATACAAATGTGCTGAGGAAGTCCCTTAGAAAGAGGCTGGGGTCACGCCAGACAGGGGACGGTAGAGGAAAGGCTGGGCCGAGGTGGGTAGGAAGCTCATGCAAATACGCAGCCAAACAAACCTCCCTGGCCCGGCAGTCCGACACCGTCAGCTGCCGGGGCCGCAGACCAGATCGGTCGGAGGAGGGGCGGGGCAGGGGAGCCGTGCGGGAGCGGGTGGGCCGGGGACTGGGGATCGTGGGTCTCTGTGTCGGTTCCGGTGTGCGGGGTGGAGCTGCGGCCCGAGGTTCTAAAGTGCATGAGTGCGGCGGCGGGCTCCGGGCGGGTCCACACCACCACTGCCGCCGCCGCCGTGGTGCTGAAGCGGACAGCTCCGGAGTGCCTGGCAGCAGCGGTAGCGACACTGACCCCGGGGCGGCGTGGCCCTGCAGCCCCCGCCCGCGGGCGCCTTGGCCGGGGCGAGGGGGCGCCGGCAGCCGCATCGCCGGCCCGTGCTCCTGGCCGCTGCGGGGCTGGGCCCGGAGCCCGCCGCCAGAGCCGGCGCGTCTACACTCCGGACGGAGGCTTCTCCCCCATCCCCTTCAGCACGTCGTCTATCCGGTCATCCTCGATCACCACTGCGCAGGGAAAAAGCGCATCAGCCGCGCGGTCTCGGGGGGCGGCGGCGACAGCGGGCCCCGTGTCCTCGCGCTCAGCGCAGATCTAGTGCCTACGTTCCCGCGACATCCTTCCAAGCCCCATGCCTTGCCTACCCAAACTCTCCTGCGGACCCGACCTGCTGCCAAAGCTGGAGCCACAGACCACCTCCTCCCTATCTCGGAACACCCCTCTTCCAAAGACTCCCCAAATGCGAGCCCTCCCGCCACCTGAGTCTCCGTCTGAGCTAATCAGAAACCTACCCGTAAAACCTATCCCTTCGACAGAACCCCCTTCTCAAATCGGGCTCAAAGAAACCTGCAGCTAGTCTAACCTCTCCTCCACCTGAACCTCTGCGGCTGGAATCCCAGTTCCGATTCTGGCATCCAGAGGCCCCTCCCCATGCAAACAATTAGGACAACTGAACCCCAGGCCTCCCTGTCCTCCAGTAGCATACATCTACTCATCTGAACCAAGGAACCGGCCCATCATCCTTCGTTTCTACTTCCAAACAGCCCCCAAAGCCCTAACCGGCTCCTCCCCCTCGACCAGGTGCCAGGGCTTTTTCCAGAAGTGGCGAGCTTCGAATCCGGGACACGGTATTCCCGGGAGAGGGAAACAGGGGGACAACTCTGCAACAGGGACCCTCCCCACCCCGGACGCGCGGCGGGCTGCGCTGGTCTGCGGCAAAGAGCTGCTGCCACTTGGCGGGGAACGGCAGCCCGGGGACGCCGGGCCGAGGGTTTCTGGGTCAGGCGGCAATTCCCGGCCCGGCCGCGTACCTCGCTTGGCTCGGCCGATCTGGCCCAGCTTGGGGGGTCGCTTGGCTTGGTTGCCCGCGAAGAAGGAGTTGGTGTCCTGCAGGCGGCAGCTGAAAGAGAGGTCGGAGCCCTCGGGGTCTGCGCCGAAGCGGCCCATCTTGTCCTCGCCGTAGGGTAGGATCTCGGACATGGCGGGCACCGGGCGGGCTAGGGACTGCGGCGGGGCGCGGGCGGAGGGCGAGCTGCCGGACCGGCCCTAGCTCAGCAGGGGAGCCGGCGGAAGGATGAAGTCATGCAGCATCCGGGACTGCGGAGCCAAGCGGGGCCTCCTCCCCCGCGCCTCCGCCTCCCGGGCCGCTGGGCAGGCGGCGGCGGCAGCGGCGGGCACCGGGCGGGGGCGGGG